CCCTAAACCCTAAACCATAAACCCTGAACCCTAAACTCCTAATCCCTAAGCCCTAAACCCTCAGCCCTTAAGCCCTAAACCCTACACCATTCGCGCTTTGCGAGAAAGCCCGAGGCCGTGTCCGTGTGCCTCAGCCTGTTCCTGTCCTTGCTCCTCGGCAGCAGAGGACAGGGCGAAACAGACCTGGAGGGTGGCCGCAAAGCGGGTTTAGGGTTTAGGGTTTAGGGTTTGGGGATTATGGCTTAAGATAGGCACCTTACTGACTGGAAGAGGGTTTTGGGGGTCATTGTAGTATCATTATGTAGGGTCCACAAGGGAATAATATGAGCAAGTATTCTGCGACCCCTACAGTAGCCCTTTTTTTTTGTGGGGGGGGGGGGGGGGATTCCTACAATCAGGGCTAGAGTATTTGGGAGTATATTGGGGTTACCTGTTTTGAGGAAATGCCCAAATCATCTCAACCCTAAGCCCTAAACCCCAAACCCCTAAACCCCAAACCCTAAACCTTAAACCTCAAACCCTAAACCCTAAACCCTTCCCGATTTTGGGGAGATACCCACTTCCTGTGGACTCCCTCACTCCCTCACTCACAAAGGGGGCGAGAGGGCTTCACATCATGGTCTTCCCACCCTGTAAGCCCTAAACCCTACAAACCTAAACCCCTAAACCCTAAAGCCTTAAAAGCCTTAAACCCTAAGCCCTATAAACCCTAGGCCCTGTAAGCCCTTAACCCAAAGGCCCGATAAGCAGCATTCAATGCTGTGCCCGGGTAAACCCTGCAAAGCCCAAAACCCACAAACCCTAAAAACCCTAAAGACCCTAATAACCCCAAAGACCCCCTAAAACCCTAAAAACCCTAAAAACCCCAAAACCCTAAAAGCCCTGAAAACCCTAAAAATCCCAAACAACAACCACCCCTTTCCCACTTACCCCTTTCCCACTTCAAAGTAGACCCTAAACCCCAAACCCCAAACCCCAAGCCCCAAACCCCAAACCCCCAACCCAAACCCTAAACCCTAAGAACCCTAGCCCTAACCCTAAACCCTTAACCCTGAACCCCCAAACCGTAAACCCCAAACCCTGAACCCTAAACCCTAAACCCCTAACCCTAAACCCCAAAACCCCAAACCCTAAACCCCTAAACCCCTAAACCCCCAAACCCCAAAACCCCAAACCCCAAAACCCCAAACCCGAAACCCAAAAACCCCAAAACCCCAAAACCCGAAACCCAAAAACCCCAAAACCCCAAAACCCCAAACCCTAAACCCCTAAACCCCTAAACCCCTAAACCCCAAACCCCAAACCCCAAAACCCCAAACCCGAAACCCCTAAACCCCAAAAACCCAAACCCCAAAACCCAAAACCCTAAACCCAAAAACCCCAAAACCCCAAAACCCTAAACCCCAAAACCCTAAACCCCAAAACCCCAAACCCGAAACCCAAAACCCCAAACCCTAAACCCGAAACCCCAAAACCCCAAAACCCTAAACCCCAAAACCCCAAACCCTAAACCCTAAACCCTAAACCCGAAACCCCAAAACCCCAAACCCTCGGGGCCTTGCACGCCGGAGCACACCCTAAACCCTAAACCCTAAACCCTAAACCCTAAACCCTAAACCCTAAACCCTAAACCCTAAACCCTAAACCGAGGTGCGCCGTGGTCGCCCAGGGACTCGGAGGCGCCCCCGGAACAGTGGAAAGAAACGAGGGGATTTGGGGGTTTAGGGTTTAGGGTTTAGGGTTTAGGGTTTAGGGTTTAGGGCTTTAGGGCTTTAGGGCTTTAGGGCTTTAGGGCTTTAGGGCTTTAGGGCTTTAGGGTTTAGGGTCAGCAGCCGGCTCCCTGGCATTCAGACAATTTGATAAGCGCCTCAAATGCCCGTTGCACTGAAGGCCTCGAGCTCTGCTTACGGTTCGGTGGCGGCTGCTGCGCGACCCTGCTTCTGGGATGGAGCAGCTGATTTCCCGAAACCCTAAACCCTAAGCCCTAAACCCTAAACCCTCAAGCCCAGTGCTTTGTTTGCTATTGCCTCAACTCTACAGGAGTATCTGGCCTTTCAGCTCCCCCCAAGCCGTGGAAAGGGTTTAGGGTTTAGGGTTTCGGGTTTAGGGTTTAGGCTTTAGGGGTTCAGATCCCCGAGCCGAAGCGTCACGAGCTGCGTCCCGCAGACATGCTGAATTCGACCTTAAGAACCCCCAACTTGGTACTCAGCAGTAGAGTATGTATCCCTTTATATAACCTTTTTGGGGTAATATTTTCATATATTCCCCTTATCATCCAAAAGGTAAACCTTTAGTTCCCCTGGGTACTTCCCTAGGAATCCCTCATCAGGGGAGGTTACACGCATGGGCTACATAGAAGCGGCTCTTTTTTTTGGTACTTAAGACACGGAGACCTAGAAACCGCAAAACATGAACGCGCATGAAACAGCGCTTAGGAAATATTGGTGAGTGTAATATACGGCCTGTTCTTTGTGGGGTGCCAGGAATAAGAGAGAAGGTCTGGGCCCCAAGCCCCAAACCCTAAGCCCTAAACCCTAAGCCCTAAACCCTAAACTCTAAACCCTAAACCCTAAACCCTCTAGGATGGCCATGGTCTTCCCCCCTTTGCTCTTCGTGCGGACCCGAGCCGAGCGTGGTTGGGACGCACGCGTCGCGCCTAGGCCGAATCTGGAGACTCGGGATACTTTAGGGTTTAGGGTTTAGGGTTTAGGGTTTAGGGTTTAGGGTTTAGGGGCGGGGACTTCCCTTGTTTGTAGTACCGCCAACGACGTGTGTGGCCAAGTCTCCACGACCATGCTCGTTTGTTGAAGATAGCTGGAAGGGGTTCCTGGGGGAATGTAGCAACCGCTTCTAATACCCGAGACTGCAGCACTGCATGACAGTCTTCTTCACGCAACGGGCCCACGCCCACATGAGCAACAAAGGCTCCTATGTCAGAGAGTGCCCTACACTGGGACAAGCCGGACTCTAAACCCCAAACTGGAACCCCCTCCCCTCCCCCCCTCCACCCTCTCCCAAGCCCTCTCCTTTTTGATGGAATCTTTTAGAAACCCTAAGCCCTGAACCCTAAACCCTAAACCCTCAACCCTAAACCCTGAGCCCTAAACCCTAAACCTTAAACCCCTAACCCTTCGTTGAAATTATGGCCTTATTGGTGGACCGTGGAGGCCCAGGTTTAGGGTTTTAGCTGCGGTTCCTACTTGGGTAACTTATACATCCACAAGGCCCTTAACCTTAAAAGCCCCTGTTCTGATTTGACTATCAGACATGAACCCAAACTGGTTAGGTGTTTTTTTAGGATTTAGGGTTTAGGGCTAGGGTTTAGGGTGTAGGGCTTAGGGGTTTAGGGTTTAGGGTTTAGGGCTTAGGGTTTAGGGTTTAGGGTTTAGGATTTAGGGTTTAGGGTTTAGGGCTTGATGATCCCCTCGAAACCAAAGAAGGGCGCCCTTTTTATTCCTAGATTACTCCTGGGTCTAGTTGAAGCACCACTGCTCAGGTTTGCGGGAGCCGGGGAGGCGCCATGGGTTTGGGTGGGCTATGGGTTCCTGTCCCGCAAAACCCGCCAGAATCCTGCACCCTAACCCCTACAGCCCAAAACCCCGGCATTGCTTGGGCTTCGCGTGGGTTTTTCTTCTGCTTCCAGTAGCTGCGGGGGCGCGACGGACTCTTCAAGATAACCCTAAACCCCAAACCCCAATGGCTAACAGGACCCTCCAGCTGCTAAAGCCCTAGACTCTGCAAGCCCTCAGCTTAAAACCTACACAGAAACCCAAGTCGTAGCCCTAAACCCTAAACCCTAAACCCTGAACCCTGAACCCTAAACCCTAAACCCTAAACCCTAAACCCTAAACCCTAAACCCTAAACCCTAAACTGAAGAAGCACCTAGTGGTTGCCAGGCTTGGCAATGATCCTGGCCATCGGTACCAGCGTTTGGATTCTCAGCAGCCCGTCGCAAGAGAGTTCCTTTGGTGGGAGGGCCGCGCAGCGCGGTCAGAGTCCCGGTGTGAGGATGGCATCCCTGAACCCTAAACCCTAAACCGCAAACCCTAAACCCTAAACCCTAAACCCTAAACCCTAAACCCCAAACCCCAAACCCCAAACCAAAACCCTAAACCCTAAACCCGAATTCACCCTAACCCGAAGCGCCTACATCGCAATAAGTCCTAAACGGCCCCAAGCCCGAGCGGCTTGGTGGGTCAGACTCGGGAATTCTGAGGGCCCTTGCTTAAGTGAGCTTTGGATGCTGATTGTGAGAATATACGGTTTAGGGTTTAGGGCTAGGGTTTAGGGTGTAAGGTTTAGGGTTTCGGGCTGCGGATGCTTATGGTGACAGTATCTGCAGATTGTGGAGACATGAGCATGTTGCAGAGGCAGACTTGTGCACGTCTGCATGTTCATCCTAGAAGGGGACCCTTCTCAAGCCGCTTCCGGCCCTCTTAAACAGGGACCTTCTTCAGAGGGTCTATATCCCCAAGGGTCCCCCCCCCGAATCCTATCCCCTAGTTCCGTCAGTCCAAGGCAACACAGCTCTGGTTGAGGATATCTTGGCTACCATCCAGACCCAGAGCAATCAGACTCTTAGTAGCTGAGTGAGTACACTTTGCACTTTTGGGGATACTATAATCCCCTATGAACCTAAAATTTACACTATTTTTGGGGCTTATGAACTCAGCAACTAAGGACTAATCAGACAGCAGCTTGAATTGGGCTGCGATCGCTTCGCAAGCAGGAAAATGGCCACAGCATGCCGTCCAGGGTCGAAGCCGCTTGGGTTTAGGGTTTAGGGTTTAGGGTTTCTTCTGGATAGTCGTAATTCGGAGTGGTTGACTGGGGGGTGCGCGATCACTTGCACTTGTTCCACGCCTTGGGCCACAGTCTTAGGGTCTGCGCCTGAACCCTGAAACCCTAAACCCTAGACCCTAAACCCTAAACCCTAAACCCTAAACCCTAAACCCTCAACCGAACGCGTTCTGACTTTCCTTCTTGCTCACCTTGGCAGGCACTCAGCCTCCCCTTGCAGATCATGAACACCGAGAACGGCATGCTCAAGAGCCAGAACGAGAGGCTGGTGGAGGACAACCAAGCGCTGCGTGCGCAGAACCAAGTCCTTCAGGACGAGCTTCTTGGCAGCTCTCGCTCTCTCACTCTTGCTTGCTCTCTCTGTTGCTCTCTGTATTTTGCAGGCATAAGTCGTCGCTACAACCGTCCTTAGGTAGGTGCTCGGAGTGTTATAAGATACCCTCTACTGCATTCTAACCCTGCTTACAAGTTCCATGAACCTCCAAGTAGCACTTAGCTTTTAGGGTTTAGGGCCAAGTCTCCCTGGCTGGGTGTGGGGGGGGGGGGGGGGGTATTGTTTCATGTCATCCTGACATACAAGCAACATGTTTAGGGTTTTAAGCTTTAGGGTTTAGGGTTCAGGCTAGACGGTTTAGGGTTTGGGGTTTAGGGTTTAGGGTTTGGGGCCCTTGTGAGCTGCCGCCACCGAAGAGCAGCCGAGGCTCGTAACGCAGAACCGCCTCAAGCGGGCCAGAGAAAATCAAGAACGTGCCCAAAGGCCGGGATGGGTTTACCTAAACCCTAAACCCTAAACCCTAAACCCCAAACCCCAAACCCCAAACCCTAAACCCTAAACCCTCAACCCCTTTCCTTTCTCTAGGACCTGGGGTAGGCCCTTATTCCCCCTTTTTTTTTTGCCAGGTTTAGGTTCCCTTGTAAGCCCCTTCAAAACAAAAAGGGCACCCGTTTATTCCTAGGTTACTCCTGGGTCTAGTTAAGCTTCAGCTACTAGCCTGAAGAACTGCAACGTTGTATCTTCTTATTGTCACTGCACACCTCAACCCTGAAACCAAGTCAAGGCTTCCATAAAGTATCCATTCATTGAAATCAAGCAGGCCGCTTTTCTGGCTTCGTAATAAGGCTAGAGGCCTCTCCTCCCAACCCATTTCCGCAGCCTCAGGCAGGGTATGGCTGAAGTGAAGGAATCCGTGAAGCAGCAGCTTGGCTCAAGAAGGGGCTTCTTGCTGCAGTGGAAGCCCTTCGTTGTAGGGTTTAGGCTTGGGATGTTCCCCCTTATACTAGCAGCTATATCCCCCTTGGAAGATTTTTGATTTTGTTCATATAACACCCAAGAGGGGATTAAATTAAACATATTATTATTTTTATTAAGGTTCTAAGGGGAGTATAGGCAGCCCATGGCAGCCCTTAATGGGGATTGTAAAAAGGGGTACTCTCATCCCTATTAAGGACTGTTAGTATAAGGGGGTAACATCCCCAAGTGTAGGGTTTAGGGAGGGCTTGAGGTTACTTTGCTGCCCTAAACCCTAAACCCTAAACCCTAAACCCTAAACCCTAAACCCTAACCACTAACCCCTAACCCCTAAACCCTAAGCTGCTTTGAGGCAGAGGCGGGCTTCTCCTTTCGGCTACGACCTCCTGCCCGCGGTCGGAAAATCTGCATGCCCGAAACGCTGGAAGGGGTACTGGGCCCTTGAGAATTCCATTATACTAACCCCCAAAACCCTACTCAAAATTATTCAGGCTCCTACAGCAGGACTTTGTGCAATGAAGTACGGAAATCCCTAGCCAACCTCAATATTTTGAAGCAGGGACTGGTGCTTGAATGATTGGTGTATTCCCTTACTGGAGGTCGTCGGGCCTGGACATGCTGTGGGGTCCTTATGAAGTGGATTGTGAGATACTTGGAGGTATACAAGATACAAGGGGTACCCTAAACCCTAAACCCTTATACCCCACGACCCCTCCCCCCCGCCCCCCCCGAATGTTCGGAGATGCCCAAGTCGTTGCCCAGGAGTTCACCCTCCGCTGCTTAGTCACGATCGTGTGGTCCTACGCTACGTTCAGGCCAGGGTTGCTCCAAGCGTCCCTTCCCCCTCTTGCCAGGAATCCTAAAATTTCCTTAAGCCCTAATTTTGTCCCGAAGCCCTGGGAACTCTAAACAGGCCCTAAACCCTAAACCCGAAGTCCATGACAAAGAGTCTCTTGAAAGAGGGAGGTTGCACCTGACACATGTTGAACAACCCCTGTATCTCGGCATTTCCCTAAACCCTAAACCCTAAACCCTAAACCCTAAACCCTAAACCCTAAACCCTAAACCCTAAACCCTAAACCCTAAACCCCACACCCTAAACCCTAAACCCTAAACCCCACACCCCAAGAACCCTACACGTCGGCGAGTGCTCAGTCCATCCCCCCCCCAAAGCGGAGGCACAAGGAGGAAGCCCTGTTTCAGTCCATCGGCGACCACCTGATTTCACAGGCGAGAGCCTGAGGATCCAGCAAGGGTTTAGGGTTCAGGGTTTAGGGTTTAGGGTTCAGGGTTTAGGGTTAGGGTTTTGGGCTGACCTGCTGCAACTCGGAAGGTCCATACTGCCAATTGCGGTGAGCTGGCGAACACAGCCGAGCACTCAGCTGGGGCTTCGCGTGCGCGTGCTGCGCTGGAAGGAGGTGCCCGTAGATCGTCAGGGATTGCACGTCACCCTGGCTTTGTTTGAAGCCCTAAACCCTAAACCCTAGACCCTAGAACCTAGAACCCTAGAACCCTAGAACCCTAAAACCCTAAAGCCCTAAAACCCTAGAACCCTGAAACCCTAAAACCCTAAAACCCTGAAACCCTAAAACCCTAGAACCCTAAAACCCTAAAACCCTAGAACCCTAAAACCCTGAAATCCTAAAACCCTAAAACCCTAAAACCCTGAAACCCTAAAACCCTAGAACCCTAGAACCCTAAAACCCTAAAACCCTAAAACCCCTAAACCCTAAACCCTAAACCCTAAACCCTAAACGCTTCCAGCAGCTGAGAGACGTTGAGGCTTGGGCCTATGGGCTCCTCCAGATACAGCACGAGAGGCCCCGGGGGGGGCGGAATGTGCCGCGCAGTCCCCAGGGAGCCTGTAGGGTTTAGGGTTTAGGGTTTAGGGTTTAGGGTTTAGGGTTTAGGGTTTAGGGTTTAGGGTTGAGGGTACACCCGCAAGTGAGGAACTATCCCCTCTCAAGCATCTTGGGATGTAAGGAATCTGCCTAAACCCAAATTCTAAACCCCCTAAACCCCTTAAACCCCTTAAACCCCTTAAACCCCCTAAACCCCCTCTAAACCCCCTAAACCCCCCAAGCCCCCTATTCCCCCTAAAACCCCCTAAACCCCCTAAACCCCCCAAGCCCCCCAAACCCCCTAAACCCCCTAAACCCCCTAAACCTCCTAAACCCCCTAAACCCCCTAAACCCCCTAAACCCCAAACCCTACGCCGCGGTTGGGCTTTCAAGGGCCCCCCCACAATGTCTGACTTGCGGGGTTGGGGCGCCCTAAACCCTAAACCCTAAACCCTAAACCCTAAACCCTAAACCCTAACCCCTAAACCCTAAACCCTAAACCCTAAACCCTAAACCCTAAACCCTAAACCCTGTTTGGGGGTTTCGTGGGTGGCCTGCAGGCTGTTTCAGGAGCTGGCCCGACGCGCTGCTGTCCGCTTGCAGGACTTCAAGCAGCAGGCCTGCAACCCTAAAACTTCGGGGGTTTAGGGTTTAGGGTTTTTAGGGTTTAGGGTTTTTAGGGTTTAGGGTTTAGGGTTTAGGGTTTTTAGGGTTTAGGGTTTAGGGTTTGCAACCCTTAAACATCCCAAAGCCCGCTCAGAGTGGGGCCTAAAGCGTCCGCGTGGATCAAAGTACATGTGCTCAGCTGTCGAAGGAAGTCGCCGGCATCATGTGGGGCTTCGCGGCCAACAACTTTTTTCAAACGGTCCGAGCCTTGTGTGATGCACGGATCAGACCACGGACCGGCATGTGTGAGATGCTCCGCGAAGACGCTAAGCCTACTTGACAGTGACATCCCATGTCTGTTCCCATCTTCCGAGCACACAAGGCATTTTTTAACAATGCGTCGCTGGCAGCTCAGAGACTAGCCCTGCGCCAAGAATTGTCTTCCTGCGCCAAGAGTTGTCTTGAGTCTCAGCGAACATTCATCCACGACATGCCTGACTTCCCTGGACTTTTTTGGAGAATGGCAGCGCTACAATGTAGAAAGATCCCAGGTGCTGACGCCACAGCAGCTGACGAACATCCTGCCCTTGCCCCGAGATGTTTCGGAGTTGAAGGGTTTCGGGCCGCTACGCCCGGCAGGGATGCTACAGTAAATGGGGCCATGCTGGAGATTTATGGATACTCATACTCAAGCCAAATATGCTTAGAGGTACAGCTGCAGCTGTGTCCCTGTTATGAGGCCCCTTAGAAGTCCCCTGTTTGGGTTTCGGATTCAGGGGATTTGCTGGGTACATTGGGCAGGTACTCGGTGCAGGGTTTGGGGCGGGGATTAGCTGTTCGTGCTGGGTGAAGGACCTTAACGCCGAAAACCCCCTAAAACCTCCCCGACAAAACCCCCCAAAACCTCCCAAAACCCCCTCATCCCGACGCTTGTGCTCAATCCGTCTTTCTCTCTCTTCTGTGATTCTCTGGTGAGTTTTTTTCAGGAAACGTCGGCGCACGGTGGGCATGGCGAGTGGAGGGTTGTGAAGAGGGGTTAGGGTTTAGGTTGTAGCGTGGTATAGGGGTAGGTTAGGAACCCCAAGCCCTAAACGAGAATTTTTAGGGCAGGGGGTGGGATCACTCAGCTACGCGAGTGCCCTAAACCCCACCTAAACCCAGGTAGGCCCTTCGGGTTTTCATAATTTTCCCTTTTTGGGGTTTGACAGGATGATACTTCGGAATGCTTTTCAGAGGGTTTTTCGGGGCCATCCTAGAAACCCTACCTCCAAAACATCACCCAGGTGGGCTCTGACACGCAGGAAATGCCGGCAAAATTCGCTGCGAGGGGCCAAGGGTTCGATGGCACCCCTTACGAAGTCACCAACCCCGGGAAGGGCACCCTTACTAGGACCCAGAGTAAGCCCTTGTTCCCTTTTTGGAGGGTTTAGGTTCCCTTATACACCCCTTTAAACCGAAAAGGGCACCTTTTTATTCCTAGGGTTGCTTTGGGGCGTAGATGATGGTAATATGGTTGCTGGGCTATCAAACTCTATAACTTCAAAAAGAGGAGTGTAACTTGATTTCCTAAGGATATGAACGTATTTCTGCACATGTGCGGTTGCACCCCGGCGGGCCCCTGGCCCTATCCTATCCCCTCTCCCCCCTTGTGGTTTTTAGCATTTAGGCCTTAGGGTTGTATAGGGGTTTACGGTTGTAGGGTTTTGGTTTTTAGGATTTCAGGGCTGGGTTGAGGGTTTTAGGGTTCTCGGGTTTTGGGGTTTCGGGGGTTTGGGGCTCAGGGTTCACTGGGGGAGCTGGGAGACGGTATGGCGGGGGGGAGAGATCCGTGCAACCATGTACACACACATGTGGGGGTTTCCGTCCTTTAATCAGGGGATTCTTATTTGGGGTATAAACGGGGTACCCCTATTCTCGAAAAATCCCCATATGAATGTGTGTATATATTTCTGTCTGTGTACAAGTATACATGTCTGCATGCCTTTCCACAGGCTCATGAGCAGCTACTTCGGATTTACTCGCTCCGATGTTCCGACAGGTTGTGCTCCACCCATATACACAGCAGCTCGTTTAGGGTTTAGCGTTTAGGGTTTATAGGGTTTAGGGTTTGGAGACAAGGGTTTAGGGCTCCGAGCTGAAAGCCCTGCTGGTAGCGCTGAAACCCTAAACCTGCAAACCCTTCTAGGCCCGAAACCCGCAAACCCTCAGACCCTGAAACCCTCAAGCCCTGAAACCCTCAGAACCCTCAAACCCTTGAAACCCTTAAACCCTCAAGCGCTTAGAGCCTCAAACCCGTTAAGCCCTTACACTTACACCCTTGCCCCCCCACACCACCCGCCCCCAAAGCAAAAAGCAAAAAACATTGCCTAAACCCTAAACCCTAGACCCTAGACCCTAGACCCTATAACCCTAAACCCTTAACCCTAAACCCTAAACCCTAAACCCTAAACCCTAAACCCTAAGACCAGTCCTTGAGGCAAGCCGCGGTCATGGCGCTCCTTCCGTCTGCCACGCGGCAGCTTGACAGGCCGCGGGGCGTTTTGGAGGGTTTGCAGGGTGTTTAGGGTTTAGGGTTTAGGGTTTAGGGCTTAGGGTTTAGGGTTTAGGGTTTAGGGTTTAGGGGTTTAGGGGGCCGTAGGTGGGCTTAGAGGGTTTAGCAGATGTACAGGGTTTAGGGGGGTGTAGGGGGTTAAGGGGTAGCTGGGGTCGAGAACGGATGGGTATTACAAGGATGCCTGAGCAGGCGCCGCGTGTTCGGATGTTCTGCCATCAGTTGGGCCCAAGTGAACCCTAAAATTGGGCCTATCCACCCTGTATACTGTTCTAACCCCGATGGGGTATGGGATTAACACCCTAAACCCTAAACCCTAAACCCTCAACCTTTTGGGGTTCATGTCGTCCCCAAGGAGGGGGGCCATGGGGGCCTGCCAGGTTTAACATGCCCGAGATTGCCATCTGCTCTTTGGCCGCTGCCAAGGCGGGGTGAGCTGCTTGGGGGCTTGGCGGTTTGGCGGTTTAGGGTTTAGGGTTTAGGGTTTAGGGTTTAGGGTATCCCTGAGCCTTTTAACCCTTATAACCCTAAACCCAAAACCCGAAGCGAACAAGAAATGCAAAAACAATAAAACAATCATCCCCACAGACTGGGCGGCACCCGGAGAGTCTGCCTAGTAACCCTAAACCCTAAACCCTAAACCCTAAACGAGACCCGGCCCAGCCGAGGTGGCCAAACACATGGAAGGCAACGGCAAAGGAGGCGCAATTCCCTCACGTGCTCACCTGGCTCCCCGTGATTCTTCGTGGGGAATGAGGGAATTGGGGCCCTCTATACGTAAATATAAATAATTTAATTAGAAATATAGATAGATATATATATATATATACATATATACATATATGGTAGCATATATATATATACACTTTGAGAGATGAGTGTAGGACCTTACTCCCTACTAAGAACCAGCCAGTGTTTGCCTCGAAGGTCCCGAAGGTCGTGAAAAGCCCCGAAGCTTCATAGTCTCGGGCTTGTGCCACGAAGGTGGGGCAAAAGTCTCCAATGCGGTGGATTTCTGTACGGCCGCGATGCAGCAGGCGGGCGCTTTTCCGCGGAGTCCGCCGACTGTCACTAAAATCTCAACCCCAAACCCAACGCTCCAAAATGTCCCGATCTTCATCCCGTTCCCTGAACCCCCCATGTCCCCACGCCCGCTCCTGTAGCACTCGTGGGCTCGCATCTGCTACTTAGCCGGCCGCTCCACCAGCCCCAACGCCCGGAACAAAGACTGAATCCCCATAGGCCCAAACCAAACCAAATAATCATCCCAACACCTCCGGGGTTTAGGAAGTTTGGGGATCAAATTCCAAAACCCCAAAACCTCCCGAAACGAAGCCCTAAACCAAAGAATCATCCCAATACCTCTAGGGTTTAGGGAGTCTGCTGCTCGAATCCCGAAACCCGAAATCCCGAAACCCCGAAACCCCGAAACCCCGAGCCCCTAAACCCTAAACCCCAAACCCCAAACCCCAAACCCCAAACCCCAAACCCCAAACCCCAAACCTAAACCCCAACGCCAGGCCCTAGGCCGGCTCGGGGAGCTGTCAAACCAGCTTCTGGTGAACTTGGCCGCGCCGGGGTCTCTGGGGCCTTGTCGGAGTTTAGGGTTTAGGGTTTAGGGTTTAGGTGTAGGGTTGAGGGTTTAGGATTTAGGGTTTGCTGTGATAGGGCGTAGGTGCTGTGAAGGTTAGGTTTCGGAACAAGCTCGACAGCTTCGTGAGGTACGAAGAGCAGCTTTGGCCCGATTGTGGAGGGCCATCTAACACTTTTCTCCCACCCCACGCCGTCCGAGGCGGCAAAGCCACCCAAACCTTTTTCCTTTTAGGGTTTAGGCCTAAACTCAAGGGAACAGTCCACTTCTAAATACTTATTCAGTTTCATGACGTTCGGGTTGGGTCCGAGAGTCAAAGGAATGGTAGGGGGGTCGGGGTTTCAGGTCACAGGTCAGGGTCTCAGGTCACAGGTCAGGGTCAGGAACCAGGAGAGCCCAGGGAGGGGGCCAGCAGGGCCAAAGACCCCAGCCACCTGCAGGCACAGGGGGGTTTGGGGTATTTTCATTATTATAAGGGACCAGTACTGGTCCCGAGAAAAACGTGTTCCGGTACCGGGCCCATCGTGGGCGCTACCGACCCCCATGCTGTGGGAGGCGGGCGAGCGACCTGGGTCGGCTTGCGCCATCGAGGTTTAGGGTTTGGGGTTTAGGGCTAGGGCTACAGTTTAGGGTGTAGGGTTTGGGGTATCGCGACTATGCGTGCACGGGGGCTTTTAAGAACCTGAATGATCACACTTATGGCCCACTCTTACCTAGGGTGCCGTAACCTGTAGGACGCCCATGACCTACTTCTTCCCTCGCTGTAGGGTTAGACCCAGATGAAACAAAAAAGGGCACCCGTTGGGAGCAACCCGGTTCCCTACCACTCCACACTACTGGTTTAAGGTTTAGGGTTCAGGGCTTTACTGTACGACCCTAAACCCCGAACCCCAAACCCTCAACCGATCTAGACCCCAAACCAGGGGGTTGTGGCTTTTGAGCACTCCTGCTCTCGTAGGTCGGCTCTTGGGCCATGTTTTTTGTTTCCTGCACTGGGATCATGTTGAGCAACATTTTTCATAAACCCTAGAAACCCTCGAGCCCTGTAATTCCTAGAAGCCCTCGAAACCCTAGAAGCCCGAAACCCAAACTCAAAACCCTAAACCCTAAACCCTACACCCTAAACCCCAAACCCTAAACCCCAAACCTGAAGCCCTCGAAACCCTAGAAGCCCGAAACCCTAAACCCCAAACCCTAAACCCCTGAAAACCTAAACCCCTAAACCCCCTAAATCGAAACCCTAAACCCTAAACCTTAAACCCTGAAGCCCTAAACCCCAAACCCCCTAAACCCTTAAACCCGAAATCCTAAACCCCAAGCCCCCTAAACCCAAAATCCTAAACCCTAAGCCCTATAAACCCTAAACCCTACACCCTACACCCTACACCCTAAACCCTAAACCCTAAACCCTAAACCCTAAACCCTAAACCCTAAACCCTAAACCCTAAACCCTAGCCCTAAACCCAAAACACCCTGAACCCACCTCCTAAACCTCTAAACCCTCGAGTCGATGTGATGACTTTCCAGGGCCTTCCTGCTCGTGGGCGCCCCTGGGGCAGCCAGGGCCCCTGGCAGAGGTTTTAGGGTTTAGGGTTTAGGGTTTGGGGTTGAGGGTTTGGGGTTTCGGGTTTAGGGTTTCGGGTTTAGGGTTTGGGGTTTCAGGTTTAGGGTTTGGGGTTTAGGGTTTAGGGTTTAGGGTCTGGGGTGTAGCCTTCCTCAAATTATATCAGGGCAACTAGCATGCCCCGACAATTTTGAGAACTCCTTGGTTGCATGGACGTTGGTTCTGCCGCGGCCTTAAGTATTGGCCTGCTCTCCCGTCTCGAAGGGTATTTTGCATGTATGAGTATGTATGCATATGCATGTATCGATCTGGCGAGTTCTCAAGATGTCGAAGGGACCATATTTTTGAGAGAAGTGACCATCTATAAATATAAATAAATAAATAAATATATATATATATATATATACGTATATATACCCTAAAGCCTAAACCCTATAAACCCTATATATGTGTATGTATATTGCTCGAGGTTTAACAAAAGGATGCCTCGCTTCCCGAAACGAACACAAAGTCAACCGGTGAGGTTGTTGTGCTGGCGGCCGTTGGGCGCGAGGCCTCTGAGTGTCTGGAAACCCTGAGCCCTATTAGGGTTTAGGGTTTAGGGTTTAGGGTTTATAGACCCTAAACCCTCAACCCTAAACCTTAAACCTCAAAACCTAAACCTGAAACTTGGGTATAGCGTTGCAATGCCCATGTCGAGCGGTTGAGTTGAGGCGGTTTAGAGTTCCCTAACGTAAGCCCTAAACGTAAACCTTTAGGTTACCCGGCCCTGCGTGAGAAAGGGTATCAGGTCCTTGGGATTCGAACCTGTTAGGCTTCTTGGGCTTTTTGGAGGGTTTCAGGTACTTGAAGCTGGAATCACAGGTGACCAAACATAAAGTAGGGTTTACAATAGGGGTTAGGCCCGGCTGCGGGGCAGGTTGCAGCCAGAGAGTCCAGGACGGCAGTACCGAAGATGTCCCCAGCCTGACCACAATGTCCGTAGGAAACAACCAAAACACACCTAGGGTTTAGGGGTTTAGGGGTAAGGGTTTAGGCGTTAGGGGTTTAGGGGTTTCGGGGTTTTGGGTTTAGGGTTTAGGGTTTAGGGTTGAGGGTTTAGGGCTAAAATCAGAGTCCGTAGCTCGCCAGGCCTTAGATCGGATGCAGATGCTGGAGAACACGGTGCTGCTCCATCTTATCAGGCGCTTGGCCTGCGCTAGAAAGGTCAGAATGCAGAGAAATGCGGAACCCAAGGGTTTTGGTCTTGGAGCTTTGAAGGATTTTGAAGGTCTATTCTTGGCTTGGGAGACGGAGGGGCTTGGCCTACTTGGAGAGCAGGCCCTACCCAGGGTGAGGATATTTCTCACCCTAAGCCCTAAACCCCAAACCCTAAACCCTAAGTCCAACGCACCGCAGCCAACATGGGCCTCGTGAGACAGGGTCTCAGGTAGGGACAAAGCCTTAAATTCAGGCACGGGTAGCACTGGGGTCTTTGGGGCACCGCGCTTCTCCCCAAGACCCTAAACCCTAAACCCTAAACCCTAAACCCTAAACCCTAAACCCTAAACCCTAAACCCTAAACCCTGAACCCTGAACCCTGAACCCTGAACCCTGAACCCTGAACCCTGAACCCTGAACCCTGAACCCTGGACCCTGAACCCTGAACCCTGAACCCTGAACCCTGAACCCTAAACCCTAAACCCTAAACCCTAACCCTAAACCCTAAACCCTACACCCTAAACCCTAGCCCTAAACCCTAAACACGCTGAACCCACCTGTGCTTCTGGGCAGGGTCTTCTCCGTCGACTTGGGGAAGCTGCAGCCTCCCGCCTTGCTGGAAAGTCGGGGACCTCAGGTTAGTTTAAAGGTTCCGGTGTTTTTTAATTGGGCTTTTCATTCACTGCGTTCCCCTTTCACGCTGTTTCGTACTATTTTATTAGTGGTTTTACAAGGAGTGAAAGGACGCGTGAAAACCACCAATAAAATAAGTGAACGAAACGAGGTGAAAGGGCCCTATATTATTAGTACTAAAGGGCGTGCATTAATTTACCCCTTTAGTACTATTAATATAGGGGCATGAGTGAATAAGTGAAGCGCATTCACGAAGACCAACCATAAGAAACAGCCCTAGAAACCGTACCATAATGCTGTAACCGCTGGGCTGGAACGAACTCTCTTGACAAGGAACCCACCCTCGGGACCCCAACCAATCATTCACCCTTTCCAGCACACTTTGAGACAGGAACCCAACAGCCGTACCATCTTGACTTAGAAACCGTACCATTCATCTCTCTGGGCTTTAAGACACAGGATACCACTCTCTTGACTCTGAAGCTCTATCTCTAGCTCCTGTAAACCTCTATCACCAGGATACACCTTTAGGACGTACCATCTTGACTTAGAAATCCACCCTCAGCTCCCTCTATCTCTAGCTCCTGTAAACCTCTATCTCTAGCTCCTGTAAACCTCTATCTCTAGCTCTAACCAATCAACCTCTATCTCTAGTACATAATAACCCACCCTCGGTAAATCTTATGTTTATTGCGTTTACTTCACGAATACTATTAATAAAAACCCAATAAAATAAGTGAATTTGCATTTCGTTCCTTTCAGGCTTATAAAGAGTGCTAATTTAATATCCTTTTCTTCACTCCCTTATCTCCTCGTATTATTAGTACTTAAAAGGGCACATTATTATTATATTCGTTTACTCGTTCATGCATATCTTCACGGATTCTCTTCTCTTTATCTTTTCTTACTGCATTCATTAATTATATCTTCTCCTTTCATTCTATTATTATTTAGTTCTCTTCTTACTTCGTTTACAAATGAACGGAGTGAATGAATATTTATTCTTTATGTATTTACATATACGTATGTATACATGTATGACATGGTGAAACGATATTTACTCACAGTATTCTCGCTTCCCCGACTTACACAAAATAGATCTATTCGCACCACCCCACGCTCTTAGAGACTTCCTAGCCTTATGGATTGAGGATTGCCGCCCTTTCCTGTCATTTTTTCTCTATTCAATATACCATACATACACCCTATATACGCATAGCATACACGATGTGGGACACATACACCCTATATACATGATTACACAATATTTCCACACGAGGCGGGGCCCTACACTTGGCTTGCCCGCACTGGGTCGAAAGTGCAACTTTGTGCTACCTTATTGAAAAGTAAAATAAAGCCAAAAAGGCAAAGGAACTAAGGTTGCAGCAAAGAACCACAGAGATGTATACTATGTTTCTGCACGTCTTTGTTTGCGCAGCAGGTCTGTAAGCCCTTCTGGAGAATTACACAACCCTAAAACCTAAACCCTAAACCCTAAACCCTACCATGGGCCAGGGTTCATGAAGGCCTGTCTATTGGCACAGCTGCTTCGGCCCAGGCGGAAACAAGCAAACATGTGGATCCCCCTTTGGTTTTCCTTGTACGTCTTCTTCTCTGCTATTGGGACGGGGTTTCTCTGGGGTCCCACTACAAAAACGACCCCAAACCCTAAACCCTAAACCCTAAACCCTAAACCCTAAACCCTAAACCCTAAACCCTAACCCTAAACCCTAAACCCTAAACACCGGAACCTTTAATAGATATAAATAAATAAATGAATAAATATAAGCGTATATATATATATATAAGCACGCCAGAACCGTGTGACTTCCTTCGATCCTTTGCGCAGGCGCCTGCCAGGGCATGTTCCGCGCGCTCTTCGCCGAAGCCGCGCGGCGCATGGACTCGCTCAAGCCGAGGGAGCCCCCTTTCTTTCTTTTGTCGTTTGCTTGTTGTTGTTTTTTTTTTTTGTGTGTGTGTGTGTGGGTGTGTGTGTGTGTGTGTGTGTGTGTGTGTGTGTTTGTGTGTGTTTGTGTGTGTTTGTGTGTGTGTGTGTGCAGGGGTTTAGGGGTCTAAGGGTTTAGAGGTCTAGGGAGTTTAGGGTTTGGGGTTTGGAGTTTCGGGTTTCGGGGTTTCGGGTTGAGGGGTTTCGGGTTTAAGGGTTTAGGGGTTTAGGGGTTGAGGGTTTTCGGTTAGGGATTAGGAGCGTTTTAGGGTTGAGGGGTGGTTAGGGTGTAGGGGGTTGAGAGCCCTCAGTCCATTCATCACGAAAACGAGGGTTTGTGCAAGCTGCATGACGATGATGGCGCTGCCTTCTCCTTGTTAGGGAGGGTAGAGTAGCCCCCGCTTCTGAATTTGGTGGCTATTCTGGTAGGGTTTGGGGCATAGGGTGATAAGGTGCGCACGGCGTTGGGTGTTCGAGGATGGGAGGGTTCTGGTTGTCCGACACTCCGCAGGAGATGCAAAGTTTATCACTCCTTTGCGCGCAACCTCTGGGTCTGCCCGACGCCGGCGACATGACGGCGGGAGACCTGAGAAGTCCGCAGCTCAGTGACAGCTTTCGTCCGCAAGAACCATGGATACTGTACCTTCAGATCCCCAAAATGCAATAGGCCTCATGACCTTACCCCTATATTTCCGGAAACCCCCAGAAATTTGACATAGGCTCCGTCCCGCTGACTCCGAGGTTGCTGCTTCGCGCTTGTGGGTTCCTCAGGAGTGCTCGGCGAGTAGGCGCTTGTTGCACCCTTGGCATTTGGGGCCCGTCCTTCGAGCCGCCTGCTTGTAAGGCCACCACAGGTACTGGGGCGCACCAGCCTTTGTCCCTCCTGGATGAGCTGGTAGAGGACAGACCGGCTTGCTTGAAGCACCAGGCTGTTGCCCACCACGATGCTTGAGCAAAGATGGCCCCGCAGCGGGCGCGACGTGATCGTGACATGGTGTGGTGATGATTGTTCAACTCCTCTCCTCCTGGCATGTTGGCTTACTTGCTACCAGTAGAGGAGCAGCAGCATGTATGATACAACGATACAGCGTAGAGTCTGTAGAGCACATGGTTTCATTGTCAGCACCAGGCGTGGAAATCTCTATCGAGTCCTTGCAGCTTTCACCTTCAGGGCAGCGGTGAACCAATGGCAGCGCCCCCCCGGATGCAGAATGGCCCTCCGAGCGAGGACTTGTTTGTGACGGGGCTTCCCTTGGAATGCACCAGCGTCCAGGCCAAGCAGATATTTCAGCAGTATGGCAGCGTCAAGCAGGCGAACGTTCTGCCGGTGGCCTCCGGCAAGACAGCCGCGGCAGCCTTCATTATCATGGAGTCGGTGGAGGATGCGAGGTGGGTCATTGACCACGTCAACGGCAACGTCCCGCAGGGCTTGTCGAGCCCAGTCACCGTGGTCTTTGCAACTCCGCGGGCGCAGCGCCCCAACGGCGGCAAGGGGAAGGGTGCCATGAAAGGCATGCCGCCAGAGATGATGCAGATGATGACGATGATGATGTCCGCCATGGGCAAAGGTGGCGGTGGCGGTGGAGGGGACTGGGGCAAGGGTGGAGGTGACTGGGGCGCTGGTGGAGGCGACTGGGGCGCGGGTGGAGGCGACTGGGGCAAAGGTGGCGGGGACTGGGGTGGAGGTGCCTGCTACGGCATGGCAGACATGAAGGGCGGCAAGGGTTTCGGGGGCAAGTGGTGAGCATATCTGAGAGGCAGCAAATCGCATTAATGAACGGCTAGGGCCGCCGAGGAGAAAAAGCCACGTGCAAGAGAGGAGAGCTTGCGCTGCGAGCTTGCTGTCAGACTTCCAATGCGCTGCTGTGATTCGGCATTGCCTTCACCTCAATCTGGTACTATAGGGGGTCGGAAGACTTCCCTCATGGTCCCAGTATAACTAGACCACAACCAAAACCCCATCAAGGCCCCTATAGTCAGTATAGTTGAATGCATTCTGATGCAGGACGATCACGAGGTGTTCTGGGATCCTGACCCAGTCGAGGCTCCACCCCGCTAGCTTTGTCTCCAACGCCATGACTACGATGAGCTGCGGTTAGGTTTTAGGGTTTAGCGTTAGGGTTTAGGGCTTCGGCTCGATGCTATGAGTTATATATATTTTGTATATGTATATATAGAGATATGGTCAGTTCTCAAAAAATGGTCTGGTTTTGGGTACCCTAGGTATGAGGCGCCGCCTTGCAATCGCAATCCCAAAAGGGACCATAGTTTAGAGAAGTGACCATACATATATATATATATACACATGTGTGTATACACATATGCAAATCTTTAAGTCCGTATAGAGACGTGCATGCACTTTGAATCACTGCACTATGATACATGCAGAATAGTTGTAATGGTACTCATGGGTGGTCTCCGAAAATTGGGGGGTTTCTTCTTGGGGGCTCCCCATAGCAGAGATCAGATCATGGTATCTTATTGTGGGGGTCAGGGGGGGTCCCTCCTAAAGTCTCCATCCCAAACTTTCTTAGACCCTTCACCCAAAACATCCCAAACTGCAAACTCTAAACCCTCAATCCCAAACCCTCAACCCTAAACCCCGAACCCCAAACCCTAAACCCTAAACCCCACACCCCAAACCCTAAACCCTAAACCCCAAACCCCAAACCCTAAACCCCCCGCCCTCATCCTAAATCGACCCGCGCGAGTCCCCAAAGCGGACGCCTTCGGCCCCGAGCAGCGCGCCGCCGGCCGCGGCCGGATTCCAACAAGGCGTGGCTTAGGGTTTAGGGTTTATAAGGGTTTAGGGTTGAGGCTTATAGGCTTTAGGCTTTAGGGTTTGGGGTTTGGGGTTTAGGGTTTCGCGTTTCGGGATTAGTGTTTAGGGTTTAGGTGGCTCAGGGCTCTAGGGGGCTGACGTTTTAGGGGGTTGGGGGGCGGTTGGGGGTTAGAGGGTTTAGTGTTTGGGTAGGGCTTTAGGGGCCTTAAGTTGTAGGGGGTTTAGGGGCGGTTAGGGGGGTTTAGTGTTTGGGCTGGCGGGCTTTCGGGGTTTGGGCGGTTTGGGGTTGCTGGGATTAGGTTTTCGGGTTTGCTGGATTTCGTGTCATGTGGTGTGAGAAAAGGGACTCCCCAAGCCACCCCAGCAGACATCTTCGGAATTGTTTTGGATTTTTGGTTTTGGTTTGGACCTGCGAGGTTCGCGGTTTTCAGGGTTTCAGGGTACTACAAGTGCCCAAAGAATCTCCAATGCTCTCCTGCAAGAAACTCAAATTTGTGTTTTTTGCGTTATTGCTGTTATTATCGTACAAACAAACTATTCTAACTAAATAGGCCCATCTCCTTCCCTTCTTGAAGGTTCTCCATAATTTGTTCTACGACATGGCTAACCCTAACCCCTAAACCCCAAACCCCAAACCCCAAACCCTAAACCCCAAACCCCAAACCCCAAACCCCAAACCCTAAACCCTAAACCCTAAACCCCAAACCCCAAACCCCAAACCCTAAACCCTAAACCCCAAACCCTAAACCCTTAACCCCCGTTGCGTCGCGCTGCAGGCGTCTTCGTGCCCTCGGCGGGCTCCATGGGCGCCTGGCCGGGAAGCCAGGAGCCGCCAAGGTGGGGACCTTACTAGGTTGGGGTTTAGGGTTTAGGGTTTAGGGTTCAGGGTTTAGGGTTTCGGGCTTCTGCGAATTCCTTAAGAAGTTCCGAAAGTATAGAAAAGGTTCTTACTTGTTAAGGGTAATATATAGGGATTAGGGTCTCGGGCTTCTGCGAATTCCTTAAGAAGTTCCGAAAGTATACAAAAAGATATTCTTCCATTCAGGGTAATATAGAATTATTGTTTTTCATTCTTTTTGGGGTTGCTTAAGAATGCGGAAAAGTCTGAAAACAAAATATTGCTTATTCAGGGGAATATATAGGGATTATTGCTTTTCATTAAAGTATACAAAAAGACATTCTTCCTTATTCAGGGTAATATAGGGATTATTATTTTTCATTCCACGTATTGCTTAAGAACCCCGACAAAATAGAAAATATTGGTTCAGGGTTTGGGGGTTTAGGGTTTAGGGTTTAGGGTTTCTTCCTTATGCAGGGTAATATATAGGGAGTAGTGATTTTTCATTCTTTTTGGGGTTCTTAAGCAACTACTTGGCTTCCGTGGCCTTTTTTTGGGATGTGCTTCTCCCTTTCTTGGGTTAGGGTTGTAGGGTTTAGGGTTTGGGGTTTTAGGGATTATTGTGCTAGCCCAAAGCCCTAAGCATGTCGAGCTTGCAGACTTGTCCGTGCCAGGCCGGAGATGGGAGCTGCCCAGGCCTCAGGCACATGCGGCGCAACAGTTTTTTTGGGGCAAGGGTTTTACGCTTCGGTGTGGAGGGTTCCACAAGTTCTCCGAGCAGCTGCCGCCGAAACCCTGAACCCTACAACCCGGCCAGAAAGCTACACGTCCAAGGCCTTCCCTGGATGGTTTGCTCCCGGCCAGCAAGCAGGCAAGGGCTCACCCTAAACCCTAAACCCTAAATCTGCAGCTGGATTGGTCGAACTTTGAAAGGCGTGCCGCTTGATAGTCTGAGCACGCGGCGCAGTTTTGTTCGTAGGCAAGGTAATCATGTTTGTACATCACGGTAGGATCAACACCAAGAGTGCCATTTCTAGTATCTGCGTCTGATATGCATGGTTATCCCCCAACGATGCGGTACCACCCCCCCCCCCCTTCAAAAGAAACCAGAATCCTAAACCCTAAGCAAGCATCCCTGGTCCAGTGTTTGAGTACACCCCCCCCCCCCCCCGCCCCCCCCCGTCCCGGCACCCCAACGAAACCGCCTTGTCCAGGCCTGATGCCGCCCTTCCCTTGCGGCTACGCCCAGGCCGGGCCAAGCGCACGAGGTAGCTTGCCGGTGCCATGCGGCACGCAGGTTGTTGGGTTTCGGGGTTTAGGGCTTAGGCTCAGCAGCTCCTATTCAAGCTGCAACGGGGCCCCATCGACCGGCCCTAAACCCTAAACCCCAAACCCAAAACTCCAAACCCTAAACTCTAAGCCCCAAACCCTCAACCCTAAACCATATATAACCCCAAAGATCCCCCGATAAGGGGTCCCCTCAATTGACAGGATGCGCCGGGTACGCGTTCCTCTCAGATGCAGGACTGCTTGACGTCTTGGCTTTTGGGCTTCAGGGTTTAGGATTTAGGGTTTCGGGTTTAGGGTTTAGGGTGTTTGGGGTGGGTTGCCTAAGAATCCCCCTAAGCCCTAAACCCTAAGCCCACATCCCCATCGGAGAACCTACAGAACACGTAGGTTTTGGGGCCTTGAAAGGCAGGTCTACTGCAAGGTCTGGAGTGGTCTTGGGGTTTAGGGTTTAGGGTTTAGGGTTTAGGGTTTAGGGTTTAGGGTTTAGGGTTTAGGGTTTAGGGTTTAGGGTTTAGGGTTTAGGGTTGCTTTGCTTCCGGTTTTCTGGCTGAAGCTCTGCGCTGCTGCCACAATGGCCGCTTTTGTACATTGGGGGGGTTGTTCTGAAGATCCGACCCTTCAAGGGGGGTTTCCGAAATGAGGGGTACCTTGTTGGGGTCCTTGTTAAATGGAATCCCACCATTTGGAGCTACATTAGGGGGTCCCTTAGTTTCGTAATTCCCCCTTACCATCGGCTAGTTTGCCCTGGGGCCCGGTGCCTTGCACCGCCCTAAACCCTAAACTCTAAACCCTAAACCCTAAACCCTGCACCCTAAACCCTAAACCCTGAACCCTGAACCCTGAACCTGGTCGCAGGGGGCGCCGATCCCGAGCCAGGCCGGCGAGCCAGCCAGGCCAAGGAGGGTCTTGGTTTAGGGTTAGGGTTAGGGTTTATAGGGTTTAGGGTTTAGGGTTTAGGGTTTAGGGTGAGGGTTTAGGTTTAGGGTTCAGGGTTTAGGATTTAGGGTTTAGGGTTTAGGGTTTAGGGTTTAGGGCTAGGGTGTATAAGGTTTAGAGGGTTTAGAGGGTTTAGAGGGTTTATAAGGTTTAGAGGGTTTAGAGGGTTTAGGGTTTGGGCTTTAGGGTGGGGCTGTGAATGGGTGTGAGGTTTGCAGGGGTATCGCGTATAGGGAGAGTGGGAGAGTGAGGGTATCACAGCTCAGCCGTTTTGTCGCATCCCACTTCATTCCCCCCCCCCCACCCCCACCCCTCACGATTGCTGCTAAAGATGCCTGGGGCAGAACGATGCTTCGGGGTGATCGGCAAGCTTGTGTGTGTACTGACCGCGCACAAGCATCTGTACCCTCGAAAACGCTTCTACGTGTAAAGGCCCAGCGCGGATGCCCAAGCCGAGACGGCTGTGTCGACCAGTCGGCAATGAGTCGTGTGGTGGTCGGAGTGGGGGGACGTCAAGTTGTCACAGGTTCGGGTTGGCGCATCTCTTTTTCAGGGTTGACGGGTTAGAGCAGAATATACAACTGCTTTAAACAAGTTCAACCCGCAAAAATATATGATGTTCCTATACTACACGGTGAGATCCGATCACGTTCTCCAACATACGATCATAGACGATCACATATCATGTACTTTCATGTACTGCAAAAAAAATGCTACTGCCAAAGCGGGGTGAGAACCCTAAACCCTAAGCCCTAAGCCCTAAGCCCTAAACCCTAAACCCTAAACCCTAAACCCTAAACCCTAAACCCTAAACCCTAAACCCTAAACCCCAAACCAGCCAAGGCGGGGTGAGAACAAGGTGGTCTACTCAGTGAAGAACACCTTCCTTCACATAGAT